GAGATGTATATAATGCCCAGAGGAGTTACTTCATGGACCAACAGTGTCATTTCAGGAGGATGCCAGTAGGAGACGTGAAGAGTAGTAGAGGAGGGTAAAGTACGAAGAGCAAGTGATAGAGCTCCATTTTCACATAATGAACATGTGTAAAGAAAGTCTATCTCTCAAAATTGTTCTAGATAGGGAACGACTGGAGCAAGAAAAATTAAAAATTGAGTTGAAAGAAATGTAGAAATTAAAAACAAAAAACAAACAATTTTACCAAAAATGCATTTTATTTCATTGCATCCCGCTTCTCGCCAATAATAAAAAAAATGTATAGTAAATTATTTTTTGCTTGAAATGTAGCTTTTCTACTGTGGCAAAGAGCAGATGTTCTTTCTTGCATGTCTTCTTCAGCAAGCAGAACATCACAAGAAGTTGGAAGCAACAATTCGGGATTATCTGGGGGTAACTCTTCTCTTTCAGCCCGGAGTATATTCTGCAAAACAGCAGTTACGGTTATTGCATATGCTGTTTGAAACTTTATTCTGATGCCCAAAGCTAACACAGGGAAGCGTCTCTTCCAGACCCCAAAGAGGGACATTGCTAGTACGCACGTGAGCTTCATTATACAGATGCTCACTTTTGGTTCTTGGAGCATCAAGGTGTGATTAAGTAATTTCTGTAGGAATATCCTACACTGCCCAACAGAAGGTACTGATGATACCGGCGATTTTCGAAAATGACACATTTTGAATTGTTAAAAATTGTGCTGTCATGGGCACTTCCTTGCCATTTTACAATAATATTAGTAAAATCCATTAAAATGGCTTGGATATTCACACTAAAATAATGCTTCCTGTTGCGGAATATTTCTACTTCTTGCCCAGTCCCTTTACCCTTGCAATTTTATAAAATTCTTGGCCACTCTCTTGCTGATCCACATCAGTTTCTGGAAACTTGATATTGTTAGGACAGAGTTGTCCGTTTGGCAAGCTGACTCTGTACACTATCCTGTGTGTAGTAGATTTGCTAAAGCCTCCATAATCACCTGCAGATAGCAAATGGACGTTTCTGGCATAGTAAGCAGTGTAGTCAACAACTGATACATAGGTGTTATGGAATCGTTTCTGCAATGTAAAAAGTATGGGAAATTAGATTTATATTAAGTATGGAACTGCCTTATTAATATTTAAAATTAAAAAATAATTTAACAAACTTATTTCCAATAAATTAAATAAAAAGTTCATAAACAGGGCTAGTGATAATGAAAAATTGCATGTACGGAAAAGTGGTCTAAAAAGTGAAAATAGTAAATATATGTACTAAATAGAACAAACCAGGAATTTTGCTTTAAGAGTAGCAGTAAAAAACGTTTTACAGTCACTTCTTGCACTAATTTTGACCAGTCATTATTGTGCTGCTAGAAGTAAGTTCCATTACTTTTTCCGAAAATTGAGCACAATGCGTTTTCAATCACCATTTTAAATTTTCAAATGTAAAACTGGGACTTTTGTTTTCCGAAAGTATGTATAATCAAATACGTTGTAAATCACTACAAAAAAACAAACAAATATCTAATTATAAACAAATCCTAGCCCTGGTCATGAAAAAGTAGACAAAATGCTATTTATTGCTACAATTACCAAGATTCTACTAATTGGGAATGTGTTTCTTTTCTTTGTCCATTAGTAATCTAGTTTGTTTCCTTTAATTTCTGTAAAGCATTTCAGCTTAGATATAATTTCGGAATGATTATGATATTTTAAAAATAAATATTCTTCTGAACTAAATTCTTTACATTTCCTACTATGTTATCACAATTTTTTAAAGTAATACATAATACTGTTTATTAGAGGTTTTTGTATTGCTTGAATGCATGCAAACGTTGAAAAAATATATTAATTAAAATATATTTGAAAATTATAAAATGAAACAGAAGCTGTCTTTCCTGACAAGAGGTATTAAGCACTCTTTTATCTTTATTTGGTAACCCGACATTGGAATGTTGTTACTGATATTAAAATATTATTAATTATTAATATATTATAAATTAACCATTAATATATTAAAATACAACATTTATTTCTTCACTTTTTTTAACTTATTTGTCTGACTGAAATTCAAGATTTCCTCGATCTTATCCAACATAAAGAGAGCAGAGCGTTTTGATAACCCGAAATGTTGTAATTTGTTGTGGATACCACACCAGCTTGAGTGTCTTTCCTGAAGTTGTCATACCATAATGCAGTTTATATACGATGTCTTTTATTTCAGAGTTGGTATTATTTTTGTTTATATTAGATTGTAATGGGAAGTACGCACGCGCCAGAGTTCGACGCATGTATTACATTTTATTTGAATTACGTTGGAGCGCCCGAAAGTGGAGAGACAGGAAGGAGGCAATTTTTCGCTACCTGTGCGCGTTCGCACGACGCCGGGGCGCCCGCAACACTTGGCCCCATTGTGCAGGGTGCCGAGACTCTATGAGTCACGCGGGGAATTTACTGATGCCGTGCCGGCAAGCGTCACGACTCAAATACCAAGGTTTCAGAAAATTTCCGTGACGCCTAAATTTCATCGGAAATCAGCGACGCCAACCGTCGCCGATGACACCGCGATTGGATAGCGCACACAGTGCGATTCGGGACTGCCAATCGAAACCGAGCGAGGGAGGGCCACGTGACCTCGCGAATCAAGGGAGGCCACTGGTCCTCACATGCTCGTTCATTCGGCTGGAGGAGACGAACGAGTCAGGTTGACTTTCATTCTGTTAAACGCGGCGACGGCCGAGTAAGGTTGATTCATTCAGAGAGACGCGGCGGACGAGCAGTGGCGGTGAGTGAGTTAAAGTTAAGGGGGTTGAAAAAGCAATGGTCGTAAGGGGCAGGGAGTCTTCTTCAGTATTTCCCGATTGATTAATGGGAAGAATTATTAAAATTGTTTAAGAACATTTCACCTTAAATTCGAATATATTTTAAAATACTTGGATTCCTATTAGACAATTGTAAATAAGTGTGAAAACGTAAAACCACTAATAAAGACAGAAGGATTCGAAAAATTCTCCATTCCATGAACTGATAATAAACATGTCTCGAATGCGGCATCCACGTGCGACAACGCGCCATGAGAGCAAGGCGCGCTGCCGCTCCGAAATCGGGCTGAGGTCAGCGTCACACCCGTTGCCGGCGGCAGGTCGGCCCACGCGGCTCATCGTATTCCTTGCAATGTCCGCAACGACTGATAGTGGATGCTGGGCGACTGCTTTTGCGCGGTGACGGGGCACGATGTCTACTATGCTACTGACTATTGCGACCTGACCAGAGAATTTGCGAAGAAAATTAATATTTGTAATATATTAATAACCAATCTTGAAAAATAATGCTTTAATTTCTCATTTATTGCTTTATAATTACTTTTGAACTTGACCCTTCTGAACGTGCAGTATCCATGTTACAATAGTTTAATTAGGCAACATTCAGAACAAGACATTTACTATCAATCTATCCAGAAATGAGGAAACTGTATTAATCTTACCTTGTTTTCTTGAATTGACAATCCAATCGCCGTATTATACTTAATACGATCTCTGCGGTGAAATAAGGTCAATAGGATGGTACACATTGGCCTTATAATTACGTACGCAGACGCCTTGTAATTATGTTGAGATTTCAGAGTTCTGTATCCATAAAGTGTTTTAAATCTCGGTACCAGTAATTTAGGGAAAACAATTGTTGGTCAGCCCAAACATTTTTTCTAATTGTGAAATTAGAAACAAAGAAATCAGTTTCGATAAAGTTGGAACAGTGATTTTCCATTGTTGCGACGTAAAAAATACTTACAATAGCTCTTTTAGCAGGACTTGCTTCATGTGTGCTACTACGAACGGTAGATGGATTTAGCCATTATTCAAATTGGGTTTTTCTTCCAAGAAATCTTAAAAACAATATGGTAAGTTTTGTCTCAAATGAAATAGGAAAGATACTTATTGATGAAAAGTCATGTAATTTCATTACTCTAGCCCCAGATTCAAGGTGGCGAGAAACTAAAGAAAGGGGCCATCCGTTCATGGTTCATTCTATGCTCGCTTCGCGACACCCGTTCCTTTAATGTAATCCTCAGAAAGTGGCACGCCAAGTACATTAGTTAGCGCACTAGCAGGGCCGTCGCGCACTGGTTTGCCCTGGTGCAAGTACATTTTGCCGCTTTCAATGGAATACTGTAATTACAGACTTTGAATTGTTTAAAAGTTTAGTCGTTTAGAAGAGTATTTACTGAAGAGTTATTGTAGATTTATTACGGTATTTTTCTAAAATTTGCTTCAAATGACCATTTTTATATCTCCAGATCACATTTTTACTTCACACGTTCAAACAGTGCACCCTAACTCAGAAACGATACGAGATACCAAAAAGTGTAAGGATACTTCAGTGTCAAAATTAGGATATTTTCTGCCATCTTCAATGGAGTCTTAAATTAAGCCCGACCAGATTTTGTGTCACAGCACTTTTACATATACTGTCATAATTAAGAATCCAATGTGAAAACGTGTCCGAAAGTTGTTGCGAACTCGTGCGCCACTACGACTGCCACTGCTCTAAGAAGTGAAACAACTTTGATAAAACTAGTGCTAAAACAGGTCATTATTTCTCTCAATTTTTGAACATTAGCAATTGCCGGCGACACTAGCCAAATTCGATTAACCTTTGTGACGTCACGGAGGTTAAGCGAATTCCAGACTTCGCGGGTTCCTATATGGATGACGTCTAGGTATCCCGGGATCTAATGGCTCCAAGACCCTGGCCGAAGGAATGAAAGGCACTGACTGCGACGTGACTAGTCTTGAGAAAATAACTGAGGATTACTCTATGCCAGGGCGCTCAATGCCCAACAAGAGTTCAGAGGCGCGTTGCGTCGACGAAGACGCAACAATTTAAAACATCGAATATTAGAAAAGTTTAACGAAAAGCACACTTGCACCATTTTAAGCGTTCAATATTCAATCTTAGAAAAAATAAAGAAAAAAATGGAGGCCGTTTTTTAGAATTTATTTTTAAAAGTTGCAGTAAGTTCGATAAAAAAGAACATGAAAACTAGTTTTTTTTAAAAACATGTATATGACCTTACTTAAAGATCTAGTTTTTAGAGCTTATTTTTTTAAGTCTCTACCACCATCACACGTAAACCACTCGCTTTGGTTTTCCCCTGCGCAACAATGACTTCGGCAAACGACGCTCTGGATTTCAGGAATTCTCAAACTAGAGAGTTCACAGAAAACGCCTTGATACAGAGCCCAGCTCCTGCATTGTGCTGCGCTCTGGGGCATAAATGACGAAACCTTTATTGCCTTCAAACGGCTTCATACATACACATGATTTAACATTTTAATGCAAGATATTTAACGAAAGATGCTATTTGAATCAGAGGCTTGGCGTCAAATTAGGGAATACAAACGAGTGTTTGTTGTTAATAGCCTCAATTATTAGTTAAATGTGGCCAGAATTTAGACTTCCTAAGCGTACTGTATTAACATTCAATCGTCTCAAAGAAATCAAGAACAGGAACACGTGATCTCCCTAAGAGGCATAATCTAGATAAATAGGAGTTACATGAATCCAATAAGCACTTGAGTACAAATCTGTCATAAAATGTGAGAAGTTGCATGTATTATACATTGATATCACAGAAGTCCTCTTTTACAAAATTACAAGCACAGTTTTGCTAAATGAATATCAGATATTACACAAACTTACAAAATGTATCCTTTTGCAAATAAAGACTTTTCCAAGGCAACATATTGCACGATTTTAATGGTGAATATTTACATTTAGTGATCCAAATACGAATTTGAAATACAGAAATAGAAGGAAGGCCATACACTTGATATTCTAGAACTGTTGACGAATACAGTTCACATATTATTTCCAAATAAGAGTTACACTGGGATCACATTCAACTTCTTCATCCAATTCTTGGGCACTCATTCCATATTTACAGCATATTTCGTCATAGGACAAAATTCCATTGAAATTGCGCTGCAAAGCACTAACAGGACTTGGATGTCCAGGTACTTCAATAAATACAGGATACTGAAACAAAAGAAAAACACTTGAAAACTTAATTTTCTCATTTCCAACTGACATCACAGAACAGGAGTGCTAAATTATTAATGCTGGATAAACATGACACTTTCCTCACTTTCAAATATGTATCTTAACATAAACTATAATTTTCAATATAAATTAACAAACGAATTAGAGGCGAGAGAAAAGGGTGAGAGAGTGTGCATTTTAACTTTTTCCCATACCATATGTACGAGTACATTTACTAATTTTCAATTCGCGTAGAAATTGAAAGAAAATTATGCAGCCTCTCGCTGTATGAGAGATGTGTAAGGTTTCGTTAGATACCCAGAAACTCGGGGGAAATATGCAAATATTTGATCGTGTTATTCCACCTATTCTCATAATGCACGTAAACTAAATGCGCATACTCGCTATGTGGCTGCTTACGACACTTCTGCTGTCACGCGATATCAACAGTCGAAAGAGGTCGCCAATCAACAAAAATTTTGCTTCACGCGCTGAATTTTGGAACAAACTTTGTTGACATTCTTCATAAGCAAAGAACTATTATATTCACATATACAACACTGTTTTATTGCAGTAAACTTGAAGGCTGTTTTTGTTAAAATATTTAATTTGCTTCAGTATTACACGAGCATATTTTATTATTTTTCAATTGAGCAGTGTGCGCGCTTTTGGGCAACCAATTTTGTGTGCTTTTGTTCAACAGCTGTTTTGCTGCTGCAGGCTACCACTGTTGTATTATTCTACTCACAAATCACTCACAAGTATATTCTCTCACAAATCACGACGAATACTAATATTTAACCGAGTGGTGCTGTTACAGCATATACTTTCTCGCATTACTTCTAAATTTATTTAGAACCTTCCTTATTCAAATCTCGCTTGTCATCGAGTTTTCTGCCTGGTTGGCCAGCTCATTTTCCGTGATTCCCACATGGCATGGGACCCAACTCTGTACCAGATCATAGAGGCTAGATAGTAGACGATGTATCAGGTTTTGTACTGATTTCGTCAAGAAGTCTGAAGAACGGCAGGCATCTTGAGAACTGAGAGAATCAGAACACAGAACTACCCGCCGCAACGACGCTGACTCCATGTATTTTGGGGCATCGAGAATTGCATGCATCTCGGCAGTGAAAACACAGCACAGAGAGTGAAGCCGATGTCATTTGGTGACCCTGATGCAATGAAAACTACATGCTAGTGCGTCATTGTACAATGAACCATCTGTGTATAAGAATTTAAGATCCGGATGGGCGGCCCTCATTTCCTGAAATTGCGTCTGCTAAACAAGAGAACTGGTACTGTTTGGAAAGACTGGAGTCTGAGGTCACTATTGGGACGGAGGAGTTTCGACAGGAGAGGAGGGTTCACAAGGGGTGGGAAGACTGACATTAAGGTCCCGCAAAAGGTTTCGAAATAGAATACCTGAAGGCTGGGGTAGCGATTTTCGAAGAATATGATGCCTGATAAATAGATCAGGATTGTCAAGGAGTCCTGATTCTTTAGCACCATAAGACGTTAACAGAATACCCCGTCTTCGGCACTTGATTCGGCTAGTGCGATACGCACCTGTTTAGAGGCGGATACCAGCATGGTGTATGATGTTGATGGGTCGGCGAGTGGAAGGAGCTGCAGATCCATACACTTTACTACCGTAATCCAAAACCGAAAAGATAAGTGCTCTATACAGCCACAATAAAATAATGCAGTCGGCTCCCAATGATGTACCACTCAACATACCAGAAGGCGAAGGGGCAATGCATCTGATTTGTAGTTCACGGCTATGATCAATTCACGTGAGGGATTTGTAAAACGTGAACCCCAGAAACATGGCCGATTCAGCGATTGGAAGCTGATCGCCTACCAACTAAATGACTGGATTGCTATGCAAATGGAATATCCTGCAAAAATGCACACCAGTAGATTTGGTGGTAGAGAAGTTAAATCCTGTTGACATTCTCCATTCGTGGAGCTCGTTGAGCGCGAGTTGAAGTTGCCTCTGGATTACGTTGATGCTGCTGGATGAACAAACGATGCGAAAATCATCCACAAACAACACATTTCTAGCGCGGTCGACGTTGTACCATGTATGGCGATGGCAAACAGTGAGACACTCAGAACCGATTCTTGAGGGATGGCGATCCTAGAGGGTCACTGCTAGAAAGCCTGTCACTAACGCAAACACGGAAGGATCAGTTCGAAAGAAAGTTTCTACCTAAATCCCTATGAATGCAGGATTCGCAGAATTCCGTACCTCAAGTGGAGTCGTAGGTATTTTGTATCGAATAAGGCCATAATATGTTGCCTCAAGGCGAATGATGTAGAGATTGCAATTGCCAACACGAGGGGTTTCACGGTTAACCGGCGTCTTTTAAATCAGCTTGGGATTGGTGTCAACAGATTTTTACACTCCAAGGACCAGACCTAACACTGATTCACACCAGCACTTTGCATATACAGCCGGTTAGAGATGGGTCGATAGCTCGATGGCAATGATCGATCTTTCCCTTCTTTGGGATCTGGGATGATGTCTTCTCGCCAAAGAGAAGTGATGGTATTATCTTCCCAGATACGGTTAAACAGCCGGAGGAGAAATTGCATGATCGTTTGGGGAAGGTGTAGCATTAGTTTGTGGATTTAGTCCGGAACTTGGGCAGTTCTTTTCGCAAGCACCACAGCAGACCGCCTTTCACACATGGGGAATAGGGTATTGCAACATCTTGTGCTCTGCTCGAAAAATCCAATGCACGGACTTCCGTTCTTTGAACAAAAGAAAGTTTGGAGCATAGTTCGCTAAATTCGACATACGGATTTTCATAATGAGCGGCTAGTTCCTCAACAATGGCGTCTCGATGTGATCATCTCTTTTCTTAAGAACACCTGGCACGGAGTTTAGGAAAGAATATCACTTAATATGACATACCTTCCTCCATAACCGACGTAGTGGAGCATGGCAATTGACGGAGGAGACGTATGCTCTCCACGATGAACTTGTACTATCTAAAATGGTTCTCCTCGCCTTCGCCCTACATCTTTTATTATTCGATAAGGTTATCCACAATTGGTTAATGCTCGAGTCGGGCCAGTGCTCATTTTAATTATAAATGGATTGACTGCACTTGACTTCATAGGGCGCGAACCGAGATGCCGCTCATGCCGGATGCTCGTTTGGGAAAGTTAATTTATAGCATAGAGATATTGTCAGGTATCAATATTTTAATTCAACTAATGATCATTTCGATCGCGATCGAAATGATCATTAGTTGAATTAAAATATTGATACCTGACAATATCTCTATTTATTTATCAAAATAAAAAAGGTATCTACTTCACCAACAATCCAATTAATAATTGATAGCAATTGTATTTAGGCATATCCCATTCCGAAATTTTGTACAAACATACAATAAAAATAGGTAATTTAGTGACAATTTTATATTAAAAAAAAATAAAATTTAAAGTTGAAAATCTAAGAAAAATAAACAATTTCAATTTTTGTATAACTTTAGTTCAAATATATTAAAAAGTCGTGTAATAATCCCTATAATTAGACTAGTTTGAAGTCTTTAGTTTTTTAGTAAAGGAGATACGAGCATTTATATTTGACAGTTCGCGCGCTAGTTTACAATTTTTAATTTCGTATCACTCTGAAGTTATACTATTTAAATGAAAATAAAAAAAAACATGAGTTGTTTTGCAATTAGAATGGATACACACAGGAATTCGTTCCATTTGACGTGGAATTACTCAAATCGCAATTCCGTCTCATTCAATTTGAGATACGTAAATACCCAATTTTAAAAGAAATATTCCTTAGCCCCGACTTCAAAACGTAGACTACGTATCTGAAAAGCGTTCTAGAGTGAGAAACGATTCATGATTTGGGCGGCATTCATTCAATGGCAATATTTTGCGGCAAATGATTAGTTTCATCGACAATTGTTATCCCCACATTCAACAGTAAATGAACCTTCGTTTAATTCTACTGTCGAAGTCACGCGAACCAGAGTCATCGAAAAGTTACAGAATACTGAAATCCTTCCATAGCTCAACTTGCCCTTGAGAGAAAACATCACTGGCAGTATTGCTTCTTGAGCCAGCCTTTCGATATATATATATATATATATATATATATATATATATATATATATATATATATATATATATAATGAACTTTGCAATATATCTTTATAAACAGTTTCCTTGCAAATATAGCATTGCAAGTCGTACTATTGAATAGAGAAGATAAAAATAAATTATATAGCTTCTGTTGATATTCGCCATAAAACTGTTTCTCTCGGCGTTATTTAATGTACCAGATAATTTGTTTATATACTAATAACACTTAAGCGAATTGAAATATTGAAACGGGAGTTTTAATGGCTGTTTAGAATTTTAAAAAAGGTTGAATCTTCAATAAACATAGTTGCCGTAAGACAGAAATTGTTACTGCAATGATCCCACGGAACTACCAATAAACATTACATTTTGTTTATTGTTTTTTCGAAGACATGGTAAAGACAGTCATTTCGACCCGAGGCACAGTTTATCGCCTCGAGACGCTATCGAGGCCGCGATATCACATCTGCCCTCGGTATGAAGCTTATGAAGGTAACAACCGAAGCGAGACATTGCAAACCTCTCTTTTCAGTATACGTGTGTGCGCAGAGCGAATGGAATGAGTGCAAAAAAATAAGGGTGGTTAAGAGATGCGAAGTTCTAATAAACAAATATCTCCAGAACGGAAGTTGATAGCACAGATAGAATTACGGAATTTTGTTTTGGGTTTAAGAGGGATTTAAAGACAACAAATTTCCGTCTGAGGGGAGAGTCTCCCGATGTCCCAGAGCCGAAAAACGCCAATCAACAATTTTCAATTTTAGAAACAAATTCGAAATATGCGCTTGAACGGCCGGACAGGATTTGCAAATTGTGCGTGATATGAGCATTTTAATATAACAGTTTGACAGTTACAAATTGATTGCTAAAATGCTAAATATTAACTAGTCCATCGACAGTAATTCTGGACGGACAAACCCGTTCATAAATAGTTTTTCATTATGGAGTATGCGCAGGCACAATCTCTACTTCGGCAGATATATATGACGAGATTTCGTCCTTATTGGTAAACAATGGAGGTCCCCGCCCCATGGTGGTTTGCGCCAATCATATAGCACGAAGGTTCTGACTAGCGATTGGTCAACGTGCTCCTCTCCCAGATAGAAGGGTGGCCAGGTTTGTTTGGACGGTTGGGAAGATAGAATTTCACCATCCAATACTTGTGTGTCGAACTTTACAAGGCATACATAGGCTATCCGGCTTGGAATGAAATTAACCGTCGTCTAGGAAAACCAACATACTTCGGTGGAGCGGATCACGTGCACAAAATTAATACAAGAAAACAGAAAACGGACGTTGGGAAATTTTCATTCACAAACCGAACATTAGAAACTGGGACAGTTTTCCTGCGACTATCTTTGAAACCTTTCCTCCAAGCTTGTGAAAATTTAAAAAATAGATTAGTTTTCTAGCTGGATATGCTATATATTTTAGATCAATGTATTAGTGTGCAGTTTCTACTGTTAAATTAGTGGTATTTCCTAATAACGTTTGTTAAATTGTTATGATTAGGTGAAGTTGTATTACTATTATTATTATTATTATTATTATTATTATTATTATTATTATTATTATTATTATTATTATTTTACTATTTAGTAGTACAGTGCATAACAGAAGTTGTAAAATGTTATGAAGTTGAGAGAAAGGAATGCTGAAGAAATGCATCACAGATAAGTGCAGTGCAGTGAAGCAGAGTCGTGTAGGCTTACACGGTGAAATTTTGTACTATTTATTATTGTACTAAAACGGGCCAAAAGTAATGAAATGTAATTAATTGGGAAAAACTTTATCCATGACATTTAGGATGCGAAGAAGACTAGTTTCTATTGATAGAATCCTCTGCAAAAATAAGATACTTACACAAGTATCACGTTTCCAGTACTTGAGAATGTATACCCTATGCACATACAAATGAAAATCACAGCTGCCATTACTGCCATGAACCTTTTCAAACTCAAAATCTGACCCATAATTACGTATGGTATCTATTTAATATGGGAGCACCTGAAAAAGAAAAACCTAGCAGACATAAGAAAAAGTAAAGGCACGATTCCTAAAACGAAAGCTAGGTCTATCAAAGTATACACCCTCACAATTTGTGTATAAACTATTCAGAGAGCAATTTTACATAGGAAATTTAAGATATCAACTGCTACTGCCCTTTAGGGAGGCGTACAATGAATCTACTTCAGGAATTATTAAAGAAAAAGGACGAGATATGGTTGGAATTTTACAGCACAGACATTATGATAAACATAGATTAGATGAGAGTCCAGTATGACTTTAGACATATTGTAACAAATAATGCATCATCTGCCGGGATTCGCTGCGCGGATTAAATCTGCCGGCACCCCCCCCCCTTCCGCAAACTGGACGGTTCCGGGTTATTCGCGAGTCGTGTTGAGGTGTGGCGCACGTTCTCGATGGCTCGAGGCGAGCGCTGGTCAAGTATAAATTCGCCGCTGCTAGAGGCCGCATGAGTAGCAGTCAGGAGTCTACGTTAGTCCGTCAGTGTGAGTATGTAGTAGTAGCAGTTGGAAGTAAGCAGCCGCGAGTCAGTCAGTGTATGTAGTTAGTGAGCAAGCAGTCAGTCGGTGCAGTAGGTGGACAGCAGCCTGAAGTCGGAAGCTGAGCTTGAAGTGTGCATCGCGGTGAACAGCAGTGGTGTGGACCCTGATCAGCGCCGTGAATTGTGGTCTGCACAGTGAAGTGTGTCAGCGCAGTGGACCGTGCATCGGACTATGCGATAGTGTAGAAGAAGTGAACAGTGTAAATAAATAATCAGAAGAAGGGAACAGTGTAAGTAAATAATCAAGAGAACAGAGTTTTGAGTAAGGAAAATATTCAAGTGAAGAATACAAGGACTGTGTAACCTATCTGTAAATAAATCAAGTATTTTTTAGTGTAGCATTGTCAAAAAATATTATCCGAGTGTGTTTTAATTCACCACGAAAAACGTTACAATATAATGAATTGTTGGGCTGCACATGGCTTCTACCACTGAATGTGCAAAAAGGAAATGTACTACCAACCAGAAGAAACGTGTGTAAACTACATTAAAGACAGACATAATCACTAACAAACATTTGTGAAACCTAACTCAGCACATTGTGTGAAAACTACTACTACTACTACTACTACTACTACTACTATTATTATTATTATTATTATTATTATTATTATTATTATTATTATTATTATTATTAATAATAAAATAAGCATAACAAACATAACCCTGGAAGGATGTGCAGCAGTGCAGGGAATCATGACTTAAAAAGTTGCATGAATTTCAAATTCTACAAAGAAATTTTTTAGAGGAAGAATATAGAAACATCAGTGGGCACAACTATGAAACTAGAAAGACAAATTTTTATACTTCCAGAGACTTTTGATGAATTTGGTGAGAGAATGCTTAACATAATCATTTCAAAACTGCTCAATTCAATGCCAGATGAAACATTAGAAGTTATGTCTAAAAGGGCATTGAAAAAAAGTTTTAAAAGAATGGTATACAAGATACTAGGCTTTACATAAATAGGAAGTTCAAGACTTATCTTTTAGCTTGTTGCTTATTGCCATTTAGTTTTATTTGAAAATCTAGATAATAATTTGATTTCTTTTAGCATATTAAATGCAGTTTTAAATATGTTAATTAAGTATAACTTAATTCTCTTTTTTGTCTGTTGCCAACTGCCATCTTGTTTTACTTATTTACAATTTATTTGTTATTTTAGTTAATAATTTGATGATTTTGATTTCTTTTTGCCTGTAGTTTCCTTAGAAAAAATCTAAATTTCAGCAGACACGGTTCATGCATCATACAGTACAGATGATGGGTGAACGGTAATCAACAACGATAATACGAAAAAACAAACGTACACTGCGACACACCCCTCTCTGACATGTACAAAAAGTACTTGGAGAGGGTTTGGAGTATACTGTATAAGAGAAAACAAATATGATAAGAACGGTATTTTTGCTAAATGGTTAACAGTCCAGTAAAATTAGTATTCTTTCCTCTAGTTTTATTGTTTTTTTGGTTATAATTTTTGTTGTTTTAAATTTTTATAAGTAAATAGCAGCACCTGTACACTGTCAATGTAATTCTTTAGAAAAAATAAATGTATTATTATTATTATTATTATTATTATTATTATTATTATTATTATTATTATTATTATTATACTTATTATAATCTTTCATTATAATCACTGCTAACTACTTTTCTGAACACATTAGAATGTAACACAATCACATGCACTCATTTACAGAATTTCTGAAAATCATATAGTATTCGTGCCTAGGTTTGCAGGAAATTCAAGAAGAATTTCAAAAAACAAAATAAGATATATTGTACCTTTTGAATTCGTCGAATAATTTTGTGCAACAAACCAAATTGAACTAATTTGCATTCATCCACATGAAGAGCATGTGGATTGAAGCGTAAACATAAATCTCGTAATGTTGTTCCATGTGTCATATTGGAATATAGTATGAACACATCTCTCAATGATGGTAGATCAGTCTCTGAAAACAGATAAATTATCATTTTTTTAAAATTGTTACAAGAATCAAAAAACACTTCTCAATTATACCAAAAGTTTAAAAAAAATCAATATTTATGAATTACACTTCCTGGGTGCTAAACGAAAAATACACTCACCAGAATTAGATACATATTCTAGACAGTCCTCTTGAAACCTTCTATTTGAAGCAAGAAATCTCAATTTTGGTGTTGTTGCATACACGTTACTATATTGAAATATTGGTATCAAGCTCACGACACCATAATATCTGCAAATGATGATTTTATAAATACAACTGTCCACATACTAACCATATGTATGCACAAATTCTATTTAAATAATAATAATAATAATAATAATAATAATAATAGTATAAATAATATAAAAGCCTAAGCAACTAGTGATGCTAAAACAGCACATACCTTCTTGTGCATGGCTTATTGCAACTTTACGCATAAATATTAAGGACTATTTTACTTACAAATACGAACTAATTAAAGATCAAATAGGCATCAACAAAGATATTGGGTAAAAATCAAATATAGATAAAACTACATAAAAAATTCACAATTCAATTTCTACTACAAAATGAGTTAAATTTGGAAGAAGTCGTGATTTAGTATTATAAATTTAGTCAGTAGTCAACCCCATAGAGTTGGTGCATTTTTACATGCGAATATTTCAACTCATTTTCCCAATTCCGTTTTTCAGTGTTAAACTGTTCTTCCCTTCAATTTCACAATTATGTAATTCTAATAAAAGTTAATACCATTGTAACAGTTCATTTGGTCTCTTAATAACTGGTAAATTTATTTTCTGTGAGGAAAACATGCCATGGACTAGTGTACTTTAATTGTATCTTGTGTTTTACCTGTACTATTCATTTTATCTATTAAATCTGACATTCAATTTTGTTCAAAATGATAACTAGCAGGTCTGAGTCAGCCCTTGGGATCATGCATATCACCAGCTCACTACAAGAAATCCACATAAAATACATGAACGTTTTTTCCCCAACTCATTAAATTAGGACAATAAAACAATTAAGACCGAGGACCTTAAAAAATTAAAATTAATACTGTGATAAGCCAGATAGCCCTCCCCCATTTTTATGAATATCAACATCAGGATATTTGGAGTTAGTATGTAATTGACATGTAATTTAAGCATATAGAATGTATACAGAATAGATTAGATTAAGGAGTACAGGTTGTTAGGACGATCAGTATATAAAACTCTGCCTTTTATACGATAAATTTATGAGCATAGCAGGGCAAATCAATTACAGAGATATTTATAGGTTAATATCATGCGAGTTTCAATAGCGTGCCCAAGCAGAAAGTAGTAATATCAATATTAATTAATTAAATATTAATAGAGATAATATTATGGAGATATATCGGTACATTACAATACGTAGGTACCATGTACAAACTTCTCTGCTGCCTAATGTTTTATTTTTCAATTTGAGAGTATACAGAGCATCAAAAAGAAAACTAATATTTATTTTAACAACGATGTTTATTGCATCTGGTAACATTATTACTGAATATTTATTAAAGACCATGTATACCAATAACAAGTATTGAACTTCAGCATCTGGGCACCCCGCTTCTCCTTCCCTGATCCATTGAGCAAATGCTGAGGAGGTTTTGCTTCCGGACACCAATGTAGTTTCACTATGTGTATGTTTTATTGAACACTATTTTGCTAGATAGCAAAGGAGTGGGGAATTTAGTTATTCCATAAATGGTACCACCAAAGCAAAGGTGTAGCTTGTATGCTAGTTAAAGTAGTTTTCTATTGCATAGATTTCAAATTTCGCCACCAACACTCATTGTAGCTTTATTCATAATTCAACTATTTACTGTTAAAGAGAGGTGTTGAGATTTTTCAGCTCAAGAAAACTTTCTACTTCTCGTAAAATTTCTGTAAATGTTGGAGTTTTTACTGTTTTTAACAATTAATTAAATTAAATTGATCTAATGTAATGCAATCTATGCAGTCTGCATCATGGGAAAGGCCATACTTTCTCTAAAAACTGTCTGTATTATATATTGCTGTATTATTATTATTAATTATTATTATTATTATTGTTCTTATTATTACTACTATTGTTATTGTTATAATTATTAACAATAATAAGTGCTTAAATGTTTCTCTGAGATATACATATCTGGATCTGGATTAATAAATAAACTGTGCTGTAAAACAGCGAACGTAACGTAAAATGGAAAACTCGTTCATAATCTATTCTAATTAAATGTACATTTAACAGAAAATTATATACATACACAAGATTTTGAACACAGGCTTTCACAAGGTTATTTTCCACATCTGCTTCAGCAGCGATCTTGGCCACATGATTGAAACCATCAATGTATGGAAGGACCTACAACAGAAAAATAGAAACAAATTTTTGATGGACGATTTAGTTCTAATCTATACCAGTGAATTGGATTCTCAAGAACACACACACCGAATGGGACAGTCATCATAAGAAAAGACCAGAATGATAAACGTTTACACTTGACCAACATATTGACAAAATCCAAAGTACCTCTCAAAACACAAACATCATAGTCTCGACTAAATCCTGATACAAAAAATCAATATTGTTCAAATAAATTAAACTCGAAAACAACCCACTGAAATACATCTCAGAGATAAAAATGAAAACTATTTGAGCTTAACTTTCTCCCAGAAAAATACTTTACCTGGCATGGCCTTTAAATGACCCTGGCCGGAAAACAGACCCACACCTTGTTCTCTTCCAACCTCCAGACCCACTTACCTTATCACCTGGACCTAATCCTCGTACTACCTCTCCCATTATTTATTCCTCTCCATGTGTCGCCTTGCATGCCTCATCCCATTTCACGTCTGAGACACGATACTTCCTTCGGCTATGCACTTGGGTTAAAAAAGAGATAAATAACAACTCCAGTCAGATGCAGAAGAAAAATATCTGTGTAGGTACATGCGAAAGATTCGCATAACACCATACAATGTTCAATCTCTTACAAATAACATTCAATTTATTGAGGTAGCATTATAGTGCGATCAAGTCAACTACATGTTCTTTCCTCTACAGAACTCTGGTTACCTCATAATGAACTAAACTCTTCAATTTCTAGTTTTTATCGTGCAAGATCCTACTGAAGAGTGAGAGGAATCAAATAGGTGCCCACCAGACAACGGTTCGTATATTTATGTAAGAAATTATTATGATTCTTCATTCTTCTCAGAATTCAAACAATATTCAGTTGAAATTGTTTTTAAAAGAAGTTAAATAAATAATCAATAAATGTATTCAAACTGCAAGTGGGTATAACCCAGTGGCAGCTAATTACATAAATATGAGAATATATTATATATATATGAATTTTACAGTAACAATAATAATGATAATGATGATAATAATAATAATAATAATAATAATAATAATAATAATAATAATGGTGCAATAATAACCATAGTAACAACTATAAGATTAACATTAATAGCAATATAATACTAAAATAAAAACGGATTCATATAACATTAAATTACTTTAAGAAAAAGGAACTTCTATAGCTTAACTCCGCAATGAATGTTAGTTCAATTAAGACTGCACAGCACTGCACAGCACTGCACTGCACTGCACTGCACTGGACTGGACTGGACAGGACAGCACTGGACAGGACAGGACAGGACAGGACAGGACAGGACAGGACAGGACAGGACAGGACTGGCCTGGCCTGGCCTGGCCTGGCCTGCACTGCACTGCACTGCACTGCACTGCACTGCACTGCACTGCACTGCACTGCACTGCACTTCACTTCACTATGACCCTTAGATCACTTCCTTCATTATTTCTCTACTCCACATTGCACGACACCTTACTTCACATATATCACCTATGCTTTGCTCTATAACCTAATATTCTTACTTAAGTCCCTCATTTACTTAATTTCATACAGTGTTGAATGCTTTGAGGAAAGAGTTCAAAGGTTTTTGCAGGCAATCTATTCCATTCTTTTATTGTTCGATCTGTGAAAGAATATATTCCAACACCCGTTCTCTGCGGTCTTAAATTTCTTTGTGCCTGTGATCCCCCTACTAATGTATGTAGGAATACTTAGCGGCCGCTTAATTCTTGCCAAGCTGGATGACCGCTATAAGCGTAGAGCCCTGCTACTTATCGCCTGTTTTCGAGTGACCCCCATTGAGCCATTTTCTTGTTACTGAAAGTAAATTTAGCTGTCCTCGCTGAATCCTTTCTAAATTTTTACAGTGCATAATAATCGCAACAAATTCAGCAATCACGGAATGGATTCAACAATCCATATTCCATTATGACGAACAAGCGATAAATAAGCAATATCCTTCGCATTTGCCGTTCTCTTTTTTAAGGTGCGCATTACAAAGTGCAGAGATTTCCATGCTTTCCCTACAACTACGTGACTTTTCAAGCTAACTTTGCTATCGAAATGTATTTCTAAGTACTTGCATGAGGAAACTATGGGAATAATGTCTTTATTTAAACGGTAATTTGTTTCTCTGTAATTATGACCCCTGCCGAAAGGATTTAATGGATTTTTTTGAGCTATTTATGGTCATTCCAATATTTTCCGCCCAGTAATGTAACGCATTAAGATCCCGTTGCAACATTTCTTCTTCTTTCGAATTCATACTACGATATATTATGCAATCGTCTGGAAATAGCCCAACATTTGACATTAAGTGCGCTGGCGGATCATTGACAAACGCTAGAAATAGAAGAGGTCGCTAATCCACGCCACCACCCTGAAATCTATGCATCAATGCCAATTCATTAATTTCGGTACAAGACGATCGTGGGGAACGACATCGAACGCTTTGACAGAGCTATAACTATTGCGTCTACTCTCCCGCCCGCGTCAATTTCATCTGCAAGATCCTGAAATGGCGTGGCCACCTGACTTTCGCACGAATAACCCACTCCTGAACCCGTGTTGGCCATCATAGAGCCATTTTTTTATTTCCCATTCTTGCTTAATGTAACTCGCAACTAGATGCTCCATAAGTTTGTAGACCACTGACGTAGGACTTACCAGCCTATAATTACTTAATAGTTTTGTCCCCACTTTTAAAAATTGGTACGTCCAAAGCTAGTTTCCAATCTTCAGGTACATTAGAACTGTCAACGTGAAATATTCGAATTAGGTACGGTAATACTGCCTCTCCTCCTAGTTTATCTTCTTAGAAATGTCGTCTGGACCCCTTGACATACCATTTTTCATAGATTGTACTTTATTCCGTAGAACGTTCACTTCAATATAAAACTGATTTGTAGCCGAAGACCCCTGAATTAATGAATGGTTTGTATTGCTTTTGAAAACCGAACTGAAATACTTATTAAACGCATTAGCTTTTGCCCGATCATTAGTAATGAGCGTGTTTCCGTTTTCACGATCAACTGGGACATCCTCTTTATTTCCTTTCCTTCGACGAACGTATTTATAAAATCCTGACCAGTTATTTCCCTTCCCATTTAGAATATTCTTTAAATATGCTTCCAAAGCAATTTTCTTTTCTCGCTCCAATTCTTTCGAACGATTTCGAAAAATAGTAATATGTTCGTACTGCGTTTTCTGTTGGTGAATGCCTTTCTTGTCAACCTCTTCATTCGCTTAATTTGTGCATTTAAGTATTCTGGGTCCGGATTCCTTTTTAAATTTTTGTAGGGAACAAACCTTCGCAAAGCTTCGTATATAATATCTTTGAACGCGCCCCATATTTCTTCCATACCTCTCTCGGATTTCAGAAAGCGATTGTATTGTTCCCTAGAACCTTGAAGCCCATCTACACTTGCTTTCTTGAATTGCCGTACTTTTGTTCCTATTGTGACGATTTTCCTTGAAATATTTTCGGCTAAGTCAAGAAGAACCGCTTTGTAGTCGCGAATGCCCTCAACAACTTCACAAGATCTGAAAAGTTGTTTCGGCCTAATTAAGTAGACATTTAAAATCGCTCCGAACCACCAGAGTTAATCCGCTGTCCCAAACTTCACAGTTCACAAGTGTTTGAACTTTCCCCTCGCTCACGGCTCCCTCCCAGTTTGCGCTAGGGATAATTAAGTCACCTCCAATAACAATGGGATGGCCATTCTCGTTTCCTGTTTTCTGAATGATGTCATCTAAAATGTCGAAACCGTCGCTCGGAGGCCTATACCATGCAATAATTTGTAATATGGTTTCTGAAGTAATAATTTATATTCCCATCATTTCAAACTCTGTACTGACCCAATCTAATCTAATATCCATGCCTGCTTTGATGCAAATAAAACGTCCGCCCCCCTCTACCATTTCTATCTCTCCTGAAGATCTTGTAATGAGAATGAAAAATTTCAGAGGATCCGATTTCCTCAGCCATGACTCAGTCCCTATCACTATGTCGGGATCACAGGCATCAACTAGACTTCAAAATTCTATTTCTTTATTGATTATACTACGACAATTTACCTGCAACAACCTTAAAAACCTATCCTCACCTGAATGCGAGAAAGCGCGTTCCTCGTAGCCGTCGCCGCCGTAGTCTCCGCCGCTGTGTAGTTGCCCCGCCCCGTCGCTATCTTCCTGGTCCGTCTGCACCGCACCGGCGTGGTGTTCACGTGCCGTACTCGCCGCCTCGCTGTCGTCCTCGTGCTCAGCAGTAGTCTAGTCATCGTCTTCATCCCGCGCTGCCGAGTCGTTCACGCCCGTTGCCGCAGCCTCTGCTTCAACGCTGAATTCTCGAGTGGATTCGCGGTTTCCTTCCTCAATCGCCCTTACCACCCACAATTTACTGTCGCTGCAACGACCACCGCTGAGGAACCTCAATCGTGCGATCGGGTTACGGCCTTGTATACTCTAGAGAACAGGTTTCCAAGATTTTTGACACCCAGTTTAGATGGAGACCTTCCCTGCTAAAATCGCTGTACCGACCAAAAGCCTCACGCGGGCCGTCACGATTCCAGGAATTTGAGTCTATGAATGTCACATCAAGACGTTCCGACACGCACTCATGGATATCATTAATTTATGCTACGCCATATGTGACGACAGAAGATGTCTTTTCTTCTCAATATACCACTTAGCACAATCGTGGCTGCGAGAAACTTCTTTTGCGCCGCCGCGACAAGTTCGTACACATTGTGCATAATGTTCTTCCTATTTCCTTTAAGTTGTTTGTTCCTACATGGAAAACAACTATTTCAACTGTATCCAGGTCTTTTCTTTCGATATATCTTCGTAATTGATCGACACGAATACCCAGTAAACACTTCACTTTCATTTTGTTTTCCTTCCCCACCTGTCGCACAATGGAATCACCAATAACAAGCACGGAATCAGCTGCAACACAATCTGCCTCTCAGTTGCCACCCTCACT